CCACTTTCAGCGAGTTCGCTCAAGAGCATATCCCTCTCCGACTTCATGGGCTCAGTCGAGCCCAGCATTGCACCCCTTTATTGGTAAACCTCTTCTTTCTGAGCGATAGAAGGGTGAGCCAATGAAGAGGGCATAACAGCAAATCGAAATCCACCCACATAACCAATGTGGACTGCTCCTTAAGGGCTACAGGCGAATGCAGGTTCACAGAGCAAAGCTTGGAGAATAGCAGCATGTTCTATGGATGGGTTGGCAAAAAGGATGGATAGATAGGAGATGCATATTTGCACACCCCAACGAACCTTCTGTCCAGAGACCCAGTTGGAGGAGAGTTCTTCAAGACCTTCCGGTGAGGAGAGCTATGGCTATGAACATGCAGTCATCTAGCGGTATTACGCCTATCCCTGAATTTTTTAATTGGTAGGGGTCCTATCTCGATAGCAAACAAGCATAACCAGCCGAATATTGCTTGTCAGTATTTGAAGGCAGTATGTGAATGATATAAAGTTGGAAAAGAAGCAAAGTAGGAGAGATGGCGCCATTCTTGCACTACGCCAATCCGTGTTCGTCTCTACCTCTACGGACTTCCACACAGGCTGGTATCGGGTCAGCTTCTGGTAATAAATACGCACAAACAGAAATAGTGATGGTTCCTTCTGCAGAAGGAGTGAAAGGAATCATTTGTGTGTTGAAGGATTTTTTTCAAAAACTTGCTTTATTTTTTCTATTTGGTCATTGCAATTAGAGAGGATGGTCTACCGTCCCACCCCCCCCTACCGAAGCGATTCCTATCGGGACTAGTGCCGCATTTCCACTGCACTCACCTGCTCTTCATGATGCCGGGATTCTTGATCTTTTGACGAACATCAGCAAGTACGACGGCTGTTTTCCACCTCGGAGCGCGACAATTGACAATCCATTTATGGATGCGATCCAGTTCGGACTTTTCCGAACTATTGAACCTGAGAACTAGGGAACTTTATTACATTGCTGTGTTTATCACACAAAATAAAATTTCAGCGGAATTATCGACTGTCATAGTCACATCGTCATCTTCATAGTCACATCGTAGCAATCTGACGGGGCGGTGTCAGGATTCGTGAAATGAGCCCTCTCGTGTCTATCGTGTAGCCCCGTTTTTGTGTTGGTCATAAGTCAGGGGCGCCATACCTCACCAATTCTAGCCATGTCTAGTGCAATGGCGAATTTCGGGGCAAATTTTGTGCCCGAATTCCGAGGTAGGACAATAAAGATTAATTAGTGCGCCATAATAATGTGAGTTTATGTATATTACTTTATCTTTCACAAATTGAAGTAACGTACCATAACGGCATTCCCATCACAACTACCAAATCATTGCCATAGGAACATATTTGTATTGAATCGGATACCTGAAATTAATTTACCCGGGTTTTTCAGTAAACGAAGTATGTAGAAATTTAATCGACTCATGACTTCGCCTTTAGTGGAGGATTTCTGGTTCAACATTGATCCTGACCTTTGAAACTAGGCAAAACAGTACAACTACTACCATCCCAGTGCAGAGGCAGAGTCCGCGATCAACCACTAGAATCGAAGCCCTGCGTGCACAAACGCCGTGAGAAACGCACTATGAACTTTGTACCAGTTTTGAGCTACAAAGTTGTAAAGTAGGAGCGCTAGTGCACAAGGTCCTCCAACTAGCTCGCTGAAGCGCTGCTGTTCCTATCCCTCAACGTCGTTTTGCTGTCTGATGTCTTGCTCGTTTTGTGCTCCCTCGCTACTCTTGTCCGGACCCTCACCTCGAATCACGTCAACGATTGTTTTCGGACCAAAGATGGAGGGATAAAGCTGATGTATAACA